GCTCTTGAGTGGCATCAGTGCCCACTCCATTTGAATTCCCCGGGGGTGGGTGCTTGGCTCCCAGTCATGAGGTCTGTGAGAGCATCTACTCTCCCTGTTTCCTCCCCAGCCTGGCAGTGCCAGTGCAGAGGCAGTTGCAGTGAAGCCAATCCCTGTGTAGATTGGGTGCTCCAGACTCAAGAGCTCAGAATGGCATCAGTTACTATGACTTGGGACTACACTAGGGGTCACTTGCTTCCTGTCCTGGGGCCTCTGTGCTATTGAGGCATGGCTGTCTATGGGTACGCACTCAGATTCACACATGTAATTTGGAAGAGCATGGGAGTTAGTTCTCTGTACGGCTACTCTTGACCATTCCTTGTGCAATAAAAGCTAGTGAATGAATGGCTTCCTCTTTCATCCTCTGGGCAAACACTTTTGATACATATTTCATAAGGCACCTCAGACACTGCTTCCTAATCAAGCTACTAGTCTTCTGGAGTAGTAGCCAATTTGGTGAAGCTGACTTATTATGACTTTCTTCCTTCCTGTTTCTACTTTCTCAGCTTCTCATTCCTACTCCCTGGCCTCACATTGCCAAATAAGCTTCCTGTAGACCTGCCTTTGTCTTAGGTCCTGCTTTCATGGAACCCAGTCTGTGATGGTTTCTACCCCCATGGCATCTGTTTAGGTGACATAGTCCTACCTTTTCTTGCAAGTGTGAAAGACTCACAGTTTGTCTTCCTGATCCCAATTGAGATACAGGTTTTTCTGTGCTGGATCCTTCAGTTTTTCTACAGAGCTCTTAGAGGAGAATGGGGATTCTTGGCTGGGGATTCTATGGTTCCTTGCCACACCATACTGGGATGTATGGACTCACTCATTCCTTTCATCCGTCTAGATGCCCCCTCAGCCATTAGTACTCTGGCCGCATGTAAGTTTTTCTGCAAGTTTTCTACCCAGAACTTAGCCCTAATAAAGGGTACACAGGTCCCCTCTATTATGAGGGAGGAAAAATAAGTCCTTTCCTAGAAACCCATATCAATAATCCCAACTCTATTGTTTTACTATTTATTTCTAATTTTCTCCTCTTCTCATTCTTCCTGCTCCAGTAATCAGTAGAGTTTATTTCCTCATATGGGCAAATTGGTTCTTACATTATCATGTGTTTTTCTTGTGTTCTATTGTTTATAGTATTAACTTTATGCTATGAGTTCTTTGGGCTCAGTCTTTTGAAACACAAAAAACATTTTCTTTTTTCTCAAAAAGGCTTCACTCGTGTTGGTTTTTAGAAACATTGTCTTTGTTATGGAATTCATGAGTGTATTTTGAAAGTCATATGCCATGTATTTGTCTTTTTATGTTTTCTGTGTTTGGCTTTCTTGTGAAGCTATCAGCTTCAACTTCATCATCCAGTGTTAATAGTGAAAAGGCTTCAGGTTAAAAAAGTAATTATTAAGAATTAAAAGTGTGTTTATATTTCAAAATGTCATCCAACATAGGACCATCAACAAAGAGTATATAGCCCAATGGAATTGATTAGAAAGGGAACAAAGAGTTATAACAAAAAGAATAGTATGGGGTTCTATGCCTTTCACAGCAAAATAAAATGATGAGAAGATTTGGTTGAGGGAGAATGAAATGGTGAGTTGAGTTTTATGCATGTCAAATTTTGCTGCTTCTTGGACTTATATAAAATCCAGTTAACAAGGGAAGGGTCATGTTTGTTAGAGGAAGAGATATAGGGATCAGAAAGCTTCGCTATTTCTGCACCTTTTTGTTTTTGCCTTGGTTTTGTGTGTTTGTTTTTCTTTTATGAGCCATTTCATGCTTAAATTATTCCATTTGGAGAGCGAGAAATATGTGGTAACTTGATCTAATTCATCATAAGTGAGCCCCTCGAGGCTTACTTGAACTGAGTACAGTATGGTCAATTGCTTCATTCCCATATTTGTGCAGAAGGGGAAAAATGGACTTACCTGTTTGTGATATTTTGGTGGACATAATGTCCCCTTCTCATAAGAGGAGAAAATCTGCCTGTTCTGACTCTTCCCCAACATTTGTTTTGATAGGTATGCACATACATCTGCAATTGTACGAGAAAGTCTGGAAATATTCTAGGTTCTTTCCTGCCTTCTGACTCCTAGAGAAGGGGTTAGGATGAAACGTGGCTGCAACCTCATTCTGTCCTTACTTCTGCGTGGTGGAACGTGATGTGGCTGCCTTTCACTATAACTCCATTTTTATTTCTTTAGCATTTAATTATCTTGTTTGAATAAGTAGTTCATGGATATCATGGTTTCAAGGCAAAATACTATGCTTCTTTCTCTGGGGTTTAAGGGCTGGCCCTGTCTAAGGGCTGGCATTCTTTAGAGCTAGGGCTAAATGAGGGGGTTCTCAGGTATTGAACACATACCGAGGACCACAGATAAAGTGCTTAGATGTGCTTGCTTGATTTTACAGAAGCTTTCTATATTTATATTCATGTCTGCTGGGCATTTGCTATCACCCAAACTGTTCTGCCCAGTCTCTCTACCTTTACAATTCTGGTTACTTCCTCTAAGAGACTTCCACAAGTACTCAACAGGTTGTAAATTACTTTTCTGGGGTAAAATGATGTTTCAGCTAAGTATTAAGAAATATCTATCCACAGAGAGAGCTAATCAAATCAAGAGCCAGTTTGCTGAAGGAATGGAAAGGAATGAGGCAGTTAGTAGCAAACTTCAGCAGAAAAGCCATTCTCAGAGAGAGAGAGAGAGATCTATCAATTTTTCGGTAGTATTAGGATAGCAGTGGTAATGGTGGTTGTAGAGTTTGTGAGCTCCTTTATGATGAGAGTTGGCAGCAAGCCTTCTCTGCTAAGGCTCTAGGCCTGATCTGTCTAATAGCATTTTTCTGAGATAGTGGAAATGTTTAATACCTGCACCATCTAATATGGCAGCCCCTGGGCACATGTAGCCGTTGAGTTCAGGAAGTGAGGCTGGTTAGTCCCCGACTCTGCTGCTTGTGAGGTGACTCCCATCCCCTAGGACCTGAGCAGTTCCTGGAGGGCAGTAGGGTGCAGAAGAACCAAGCGGCAGGGAGGTGTGGGTGTCCGTGCTGGCTCTGCCACCCCTTTGCCATGAATTTTAGGGCCACTGCTTTTCCTCTCTGAGAGAATGGCTCCTTTCTTCCCTATTTCTTCTTCTCATACCTATGGGCAGTGAGAACCCATAGACTCTCCTCAGTAAGGCCACATATTCTAGAAATTTTGGGCACTCTGGGGCTGTTCAGGGGTAGATTTTGTAGAGAAGACATGACAGAACATGAAAAAGCTCGTAAGAAGTTTATTTTACAGACCACAAAAGATATTCCAGCCAAGTCTCCTTAGAGGAGACCACCTGGGTGTGGTGAAGAGACAAGGACTTCCATTATTGTACTGAAGAGACAAGGACTTCCATTATTGTACAACTACAGAAGTACGGTAATAATACCGGTTTGCTTTGATGGGGATCACGGCCTCATCATTAGGGCAGATATTTTCTTCCCGAGTGATATCAACTACTGCTGCAATTGCCATAGTTCCTGAAAAAGATGCGAACAAAGATCATCTCTCAGACTTTCCAGCCGTGTCCTGTCTTCTCAACTAGTATCAGGAACCTGCCCACAGGGATTTGGTTTCCCAATTCCTTTGCAAATCTGTCTCCCATATTAGCTTTTTGCATACAGTGCCTCCCTCTTGGAACCTGGGTGCAGTCGCATCTTCCCTCCCACTCTCCTTCCCTCCCCTTCTGGCCACCCTTCCCCGACCGGGGTTCTGCTCTGGTTCTGGTTCCAGAGCCACATTTCTGTTTGTAGCTTTTCCTCCCTGGTGGACAGTGCTTCCCTAGGACAACTAACTCTTCCACTTACTGTTAGGCCGAAAGTCCCAGTAAATGTTTCTCGGATAATCTTCACACAGGCAGGAAGTGTATACATAGTTAAATGGACCATCCATGGTGATGTTGCTTCTGAGATAAATTTTACACTGATGAGGAAAAGGTGGGAGAAGAGCAAGGACAGGTGTCAGTCTGGGGAATGTGAAGGAAAGGGAAAGAGAAGAGAGGAAGAAGCTGGAGGGCACAGAGTGGGGTGGAGGTGGGTTGGAGCCTGGAGGTGTCTGTTTCTGTTGTATCATTTCAGCAGCTAAGTCTAGGTCACACCCTCAAGCTCCTGCCTTAGCAGTGTGAGCCTAAGGCCCAGGAGGGGAAAGGAAGATGCGAGGGAATCCACAGGGCAAGAGGGCTTGTCCTGCAGTGGCTGTCCATCTGGGAAGCAGGCTGGCCTTAGTCACCAGCCAGAGCTTTAGGCATTGACCTGCATTAACTTTTACTCTGAGAGCTGGTGAGACGGCAGCCTGGCCATTTGCGGGTAGGAGCAAAGGCCGGGCCTTGTCAGAACTGTGACTAAGCCCCAGCCCTGCTCCTCCCTAACTTTGTGACCTTTTCTGATTAAAGTTACACCTCTCACTCCCACTTTCCTCAGTTGTGAGGTGGAAATGATGATCTGCAAATCCTAGCTGTTAGGTAAGCACACAGAATCTTGAATGTAAATTTCTTTTCTTTTCTTTTTTTTTTATCTTGAGAGAGCTTTCCAATTTAAGACCCCAGATTATTGTATATATATAAATTTCAGTGGAGTCAGGAAGATTTTGTCTAGTTAATGTTAACACAGGGGTTTTATCCTGGGGTCCATGGACCCAGAGGGATCTGTGGATAGAATTCAGTGAGTCTGTGAACTCAGGTGGGAACAAAATGCATCTTTATTTTACGAACCTCTAACTGAAATTTAGCATTCTTTCAGTTATGAATGTCATCAAGGAGCCACAGTAGCATTAGCGGTATCTGTGATTTTATCACAAGGAGAAACATAGATATGTTCCTACCACTTTACAGATTTAGATATCTTGACATACTGCCTGTACTCGTCACTACCTGGAACATATGGCAGTTATCAGAGAGGCTGCGTGTTCACGGTTGAGGCCATCTGGCTGTCTGGCCATCTGCCCGTCTCCTGCGGCTAGCTCAGATACCTGGCAACTCTGCACGGAATAGCCCTTTGGCCCCAAACAGTAAATTCAAGCATTCTCACCATTGGAGTTTTACTCGGAATGCCTTGGAAAATTCTGGTATTTCTTTAGAGAAGCTCACCCTTGCTTCGTTTAGCATTTTTTTTTTTTTTTTTGTGAGACAGAGTCTCACTCTGTTGACCGGGCTAGAGTGCCGTGGCGTCAGCCTAGCTCACAGCAACCTCAGACTCCTGGGCTCAAGCAATCCTTCTGCCTCAGCCTCCCGAGTAGCTGGGACTACAGGCATGCACCACCATGCCTGGCTAATTTTTTCTATATATTTTTAGTTGTCCAGATAATTTCTTTCTATTTTTAGTCGAGACAGGGTCTCGCTCTTGCTCAGGCTGGTCTCGAACTCCTGAGCTCAAACGATCCGCCTGCCTCGGCCTCCCAGAGTACTAGGATTACAGGCGTGAGCCACCACACCTGGCCTGTTTAGCTTTTTATTATATTCACAACAATATATCTTCATGAATCACAATTTTCACCACTTGCATAATCAAAACAAAAAAATCAGAGACCAGCACACAGTTTAATGTACTTCTTCAAGCTAAGCAACAACGGCCATCACACAGATCAATGATGCCTTCATAAAATAAAACTTAACTTGTCTGTATTTTCAAGGTATTGCCTTTCCAGCTAATGTGTCGATAAAGAAACACATATATTACTGTATCACAAGTTTGTTTTTAATAATTGTATCATTGTTATTCAATGTGGTAGTTTTCCTATGAAATCCGATGCACTTTATGCATTCAGAAGCAATTTTCTGATAAGCATTCCATAGACTTCATGAAACCAGCAAAATCGTCCATAGCACACAAATGTTAAGCATTGTGGTTTGCCACAGGTTTTCTTCAGCTTTAAAGGACTGTATAATCTTTACATTCAAATACATGATAGTAGGTATAATCTATTCTAATTTTAAAATAATAAATGTGAGACTAAGACTTCCTTTTATCAAAAATTCAGTCACAAAAACATTATTACTAATAGACAATGAGCATAGGTGGTAGAAATTTTACATTTATATAAATAAACAAATTATATTTTACTAAAATTTTAAATATATAAAAGATACGTTTATAGCTATATTTTATAATTGATAACTATAAATAAAAATTGGCTGACTAGAACTAACAAATTTTCCTTTCTTATAAATTCTTTCTAGTTTGCAAAGTTACTTAGTCTAAAGAGTTCTTTAGACTTGTACTTGGGTAGGTTTTGAAAAGATCACTTTATTTTTTTGTACTAGAATGAATCTTAAAAGCATACTTTTATTAATCACAATAGCACAAAATTATATCACATGTCATTTTGTAGATTCAAACTCATTTTATTATAGCTATCACGTTTTCAGGGGTGAAAATGTACTTTCATTACCTATCACCACTAGAAACTACCAGTATTCTCAAAATTTTATGTACACATTATTTATACATTCTCATTCTCAACTGTAGTTATGACAAACAAAACACAAAACTGAAAAATTGTGATCCAGCCTCTGTCCCACCCCAAATTAGTACACATGGCTCAGATTCTTGAACTGCAAACAGAAAAATTTGACAAAGCAGCTGTGATAATCTTTACTCTGTGACCGGGAATCTTTCTCTCACAGATATGGAATATTTCTAGAATGTATTTTAATGAATTGCAATCTTTATGCTCCCAAATATGTTCCTATTTAATGATTGTCCCTAAATCTCATTTGAATTAAGAAACTCATGCTGTGGGAAGATACTCAACAGAGGGTATCGTTCAAGAAGGGTCTGGGGCAGGAGGCGGGGAGAACAGGGGACACATAGGTTGTGGCCCTAGAACAAAGGTAGTTAACAAGGGGCAGGTTGCATGTCTATGATGCCTGAGAAGACCACTGGCCAGGAGGAGACACATTGGCCAGGGAAGAGTCTCTGTGGGTTAATACCTGCATAGGTCTCTTTTCCTTGTGGCCCCCAGCAACTAGACAAGGGGAATAATGCTCTAATGCCAAGCTGCTCAAAGTGTGGTCTTTTGGGCACAGCTTCAGTGTTCCCTGGGAGTTTGTTAGAAATCTAGAAGCTCTGGCCTCTCACCAGACCTGCTGAATCAGAATCTGCATTTTAACAAGATCCCCAGGGAAGTTTTATGCACATTACCATTTGAGAATCTCTGATCTAGTTCAGAGATTAGAGTTCCCTCCATGACTGAGCTGAACTGAGGGAAAAGGAGAGATGCATGTGAGCTCCTTGTCAGGGAGAGGAGGCTGGAATAAGAGTCAACTGCTGATGACCCAGAGCAAAAGAGCAGAAGAAGGGCAGAAAGCACAATCCCTCAGGGCTTATTGGAGAGGAAGAATCATATATCCTGCCCTCTTCTTCCCACCTGCCTCAACCTACTGAATGGGGTTGCATTTTTTTTTCTTCTGAGAACTTCCCTCCCACCTCCATCTCAAATCCATCATGCTCAGGACCTTGGAGGAACTTTTTCTATTCTCCATCCTTCTCATTTCTCATCTCTTTATTCTCTCTTTCTCTTCCTTCCTAGACCTCTCTGAATCAGGGTTTCTTTATCTGTAAGATGAGAAGTCATCTGCCCCACTCCTACAGTTGTTCTGTAGCGTAAGTAGCATAACATATAGGGGAATGTTTTAAGTATAATGTACAATATTAAAGAGAGAGCTTAATTAAAGTGTATTCATAATCAAAGAGCTGGATTTTTTTTTGAAGTCATGCCCCCAAGCCTCTACTTACCACCAAACATTCTTTCAATTCTGTTTGAAGGTTAAGTTTCAAGGTGATTTCCTGATTTGCCTCTGCTTTCTTGGGCACCTGTACATTCATTATTACTGCCCTCCTGGTTCTGGGAATAGAGAAACAGGACACAGAGATCAGAGACCAATGCACGAGACAGCGGCTGCCACGAGCAGGGCAGGGGGCTCAGGGAGGGAGACGATGGGGGTCGGACCAATTGCTCAGTGTCAGAATCCCTGGGAGTTTTTTGTGTTCGTTGGTTTGGTTGCCTTATACAGATTTAGTTTTAGAATGCTTCATTGAAAACTGAGCATTTTCTTTCCTTCCATTGACAAAAAACAAATTTAAAGAAAAGAAAAAAGTGTGATATCACATGTCATTCCCTAATAACATCCTACAGGTTCTGCTCATTGTCTACTGAGTGGGACACTCAAGTCATCATTAGAAGAAAATTTCCTATCAACAGAATCATGTTAACTCAGTAAACATCTCATTGCCCTAAGGGAGTTTGTAGGACCATCTTTGAAGGTGCTCTTCCTTTCGTTCCTGGATAGGGTCTAGGAATTTGTGTCTATTTCGCTCTATAGGGGATTTGGACACACAGCCCTGTTTGGGAACTTTAGGTACCACTCTACATTCAGACCACACACCATAGTCTGATAGAAAAAGGAAATGCAGGCAGAGATAACTAGTTCAATATTCCTCTTCCATCAGTGAGGACTGGGTTCAGGGCCAGTTACTTTCTCCTTCCCAGGAACTCCTGGCTATAGCGCTTTGGGGTTGGGTGGGACAGAGGGAATGTGGTTTCTTAGCCCAGGATGCTCACAGCCCCATTTTCCTAGGGCAAAACATCTCAGCAATTGCTCTAGTGCTCAGTGCACAGAAAAGGGATGTGAAGACCTAAGCGTCTTCAAAATCTCTCCCGTTTGTGAATGAGTTTAGGATTGGTAGGATGACCAACTGAAAAGACTGAAGGATTTCCTGGAATGAGGGGCTTTCAGTGTTAAAACTAGGGAAGTCCTGGGCAAACAGGGATGGTTGGACAGTCTAATTAGCACAGCTTATTTCAACAACTCGCTCTCCTCAGGGATAAGTGGAGTGTCACCTGGGTCTGAACCTGTCTCCATGCGGAGTTTCTCAGGACACTTGTCTCCATGACACGAGCTTGTCAATAACCTGGACAGTTTCCTCCAGGACAGGACATCTGGCCATGCCACAGAGAGCACCTCCATGATCACAGCCCAGAAACTCAGCACTACAAATGCTGCTGCTGTAGAGAAAATTCCCTAGGTTTTTTGGGTATCCCTACTTCTCCTCAGACCCTGGCTCCATTTTCTATTGAAGGAAATTAGAAATATTTTATCCCCAAATATGTTTCTTTGCTATATTTTAAGATGGCTGTCAGAAGTCTCACAGATAGAAGTAACACTGCCAAGCTGTCTTTCCTGGGGGTAAATTTACATCTGTACAGAATACAGTGAGGTCTACCCTCCCCTGGATCAGAAAAGATTAGCTGAAAGTCCCAACACCTTTCAAGGTCTGAAAAGAAACATTTACAGTCTATTCTCTCTGAGGGCTGCTACACATTTGTCATTTAAATAACAAAACCACCTTTGCAAACTGCTCAAGCCTCTTCCCCTCTCCCTCCCAAAACCTGTTTTTCTGCTTTCAAGCCCCCATTGTTTAAACACCTCTGTACCTCACTGAAGAGTTGAATATTCATTTTCTGAGAGGTCCCCAGTATACATGTTAAAATAAATTCGTATAGCTTTTCTCTTATTTATTTTCTCTGTTTTATTGTGAGTTGATTTTTCACTGAACCTTCCAAGGATAAAAGGGGAGTTTTCCCTTCACCTTAACACTATTTTACTTGCCACAATTTCCCTGCTTCCTTCATATGTGTACCCTCAACAAGTTGGCTCTTGAGCCCGTGTTCTCAGGTCCCAGGGCAGGTGGGAGCAAGAGGTCCTAGTATTCATTGTCAGGCTTTAGGATAGGACAAATGTTGAAGCTGCCAGGCTAGCTCAACCTCAGACCACAGGGCAGTGACCAGGGTCTCATCTTTCAGTGAATTCTGCCACAGCTGCCCAAAGATACTGTTGGAACTCACAGACCTGTTGACCCTTCTTTTCTAGGGGGCAAAGTGTGAGAGGGTAAAGTATACTGAGCAGAAATCTGAACAAAGATGTTGATTATGAACAGGATGCAGATCAGAGTGTAGGAGGAAGACTGATTGTTAAGTACAGTCCATATGTACACTGGGAGCCTCAGTTCCACAGGCAGCCTAGAGAGGAGAGAGAAGTAGAACCTGGCAGGAGGTCTCTGGGAGCTCCTGGGGCTACAGTGCTGCGGAGCTGAGAGGAATCTTCAGAGAGGGATTTGCAGATCTGCAGGCTAGGAGAGGAGCACTGCCTGCAAGGCTTTTCTGTGGGGAGGAGAAGGGCTTGCTCACGTGTCTTCCTGAGCTTTGCTGGTCCCCAGCTGCAGGCAGAGAACTAGGAGCAGGGTGCCGGCACTGGCCCTGAACAGGAGCTGGAGAGAGTGCATGCTGGAGGAAACAGAAGGTGACCTGTCCCAGAGAAGTGGTGTCCCAGGTGCCCAGCACACCTCTTATATGCAGATCCAGGAAGTGCTATAGCTGCCAGGTAAATCCATGAGGTAGATCACCCTCCCCACTCATGATCGTTCCTTCTTGAGCCAAAGTTTGTTTTTCTAAGGGGAAAAAAAATCAACATTCAGCTAAAATGTCATAGTCTAGGAAAGGAGTCAGATTGGCCTTCCTTATTTTCTTAGTGTCAGAGTTTCTCAAAATGGTCAGTACTTCAAAAGACACACCAGTCCTTCCCTAACTTACAGAGATGGTTTTCTTTTCCTTTATTATACGCCTGTCTGTCCTGCTGTGTGTAGTCTTAGCTTCAGCCACTTCTCCCCTAATCTCTGAAGGCAGAGAACCCCACTGTGGGGGCAGATTTCAGACCACAGCTCTAGAGCACATTTGCCTGATCACCTTATAGTAAGTTCAAGAGGCAATGCCGTTCAAAAAATTTCTTTGAGCACTAGGATGATCAAGGCTTCCCAGTGGCCACCACTAGCCATGAGGTGGGAGAACTAGGGAAGAGATGGGCTGCTCTCAGTGATGAGGAAGTGAGGCCGAAGCACTGGGTGATGTGAAGATGTTTGTTATTGTCACCTACACTTTCTGACTTCAGGTGTAGCGGTACTATACTACAGATGCCCAAGAGCCCCAAGGCCCCCACAGTCCCCAAGGCTAGGGTAATATTTTAATTCTAGACAATTCCTTTAATTAGCTGATACCCCTAAATCAGACTTCTTGGCACCAAAGAGCCTGCTCATTTTCTTATTGACACAGCCACTTTCTCATGTTACTGAAAGCTTGGCACTTCTCCTTGAGGCCACATCAGAACAAGAACAAGTGGTTTGAGAAGAAGGAAAGAGAAGTTTATTACTTTGCTGGCAAAGGAGGAAAAATGGTAGACCTTGTCTCAAAACCCAAATTTCCTGAACATAAGTAGAAATGCAGAGCTTTTAAAGGGAGTGCCCTTCAGTTTTAGGCTATTGTAGTTAAATATTCTAAACATCTCATCTCTGCCAACAACAAAGCCCCACCTGGGCCCACCTTGGGGGCTGGCCCTGACCTGAGATGGCGGAGTTATCTCTTGTAACAAAACACTAAACCTGCCTCAGGGATGCAGACCAGGCCAAATTTCCCAAAAAGAATGGGGGAAGTTTTAAAGAGACAGAAAATATTTATATCATTTTTTTTCAGACCATTGCCTCTGTTACACTCACATTTGTCTTACAGCATAAGGCACATGGGAAGACCCATGAGAGGAATGACCCCCTCCACTAGCGCAGAACCACAGTTGTGTCCAGGAGTTGCCCTGGCCCTAGAATTCCTCTTTCTGGGATGATGGGGAGACTTACTCTTGCTGACACTGGCATTATGTGTTTCTCTTTACTAAATTAAATCTATTCCTTAACCTAAGACTTATGACACTGTGGGATTTGTTCCTGTCCTTTGCATGACAAATTGCAGCCCAGGAAGATCCTCTCTGGCAAGAGAGTGAATATTAGAGTTCTAGGAGTTACCTACATATGTTGCTATAGCCAGGATTCAGAATTAAAGTCTAGGTGTGTAATTCCAGTTTCTGGATGTATCTTTCAAAATTGTTCTACATGCTTCTTCCACTCCTGCATCTGCCTCCTTGTTCCTTTGTGTTGGAAATCGTTCATGTCATTCCTCACTTAAAACTTCAGCTATTATTGGGGCCACATGCTTTTTTCTCTGTTTTGGTCCCATGGACTCAAGAATAATGCTTTTGCTTTACCTTGCCCAGGTGATAATGATCCTCCTTCATAAGCACTCTCCCACATTTAAATTTTCTTTATAACTGGTCCTTCTCTTACGTACTTACTTGAATAATTTCTATCAGAAGGACATACCAGCTAGACTGACCAACGCATAAGGCCAAAGAATTTAGGAAGTGTCCATGTGGGAAAAATCTAGGAAGAGCTCTTTACTGGATTTAGCTCCTTTTGAAGGCACAGCCCTGCCCTTGAGGCTTTACCTTTAGCACTCTTGGCAAGACAATGCTCAGAGAGGGGCAGATGACAATGGGTTAAGGGAACCTATTGTAGGTAAAGAGGCTGATCTCCTGAAAGCCAGCAGGACACTGTGGTACTCAGAACCCTTCCATGTACCTGGCAAATAAATCTTAAGTACTGTGCAGGCCATGTTGGTGTGATGGTTAATTTTATGTGTCAGCTTAGCAAGGCATGGTGTCCATTTTTTTGTAAAACAATAGTCTAGATGTTGCTGTGATTTATTTTTTTAAATGTGATTCAGATTTACATCTGAAATCAATAAACTTTGAGTAAAGCAGATTACCTCCGTAATATGGGTGAGCCTCATTGAATCAGCTGAAAATCTTAAGAGAAAACTCTGAGGTCCCTTGAGGAAGAAGAAATTAAGGGGAAAACAAACCAAAATTGTCATGCAGTAAATAACAAACAAGTCTAGTAGGTTTAAGAAGCCAAATAGAGGTTGATAAAATCAGATTGTAAACAATTTAGGAGGCTTATAGAAGAGACTGCACAGGCACAAAGGGAAGGGATTGAGGATTAAGGAGAAGCTTGCCACAGGCTAAATTTGCAAAGAGAAAGGTGACCCTAGACTTCACAAGGCCCATGAAAGAGGAAAATAAGGAATAAACAAGAAAAGGAGTTATAGCAGCCAACACACATGGAACACAGACCATGCGGATAACATTGTTCTAAACAGCTGGGCATGGTGGCGCATGCCTGTAGTCCCAGCTCCTCAGGAGGCTGAGGCAGGAGGATCACTTGAGCCCCGGAGTTTGAGGTTACTGTGAGCTAGGCTGACGCCATGGCACTCTAGCCCAAGCAACAGAGTGAGACTCTGTCTCAAAAAACAAACAAACAAACAAACATTGTTCTAAACACTTTATGTGTATTAACTCGATCTTCATAACAACCTTATGAAATGGGATGCCATTTTTATTCCATTTTACAAGTGAGGAAACAGAGGCACAGAAGAGAAAATATCTAGGCCAAGTCATAGAGTAGTAACTGGTGGGGTCCACTTTGGATCCAGGTTTTGTGGAATCTGAAAATTTTGGTTTATAATATTGAAGAGCCTCTTTCAGAAATAGTGTATAGACTTACAAATATAAACTACAGATACAGGACCTTGCAAGAGACACCTGTACATGAGGAGCCCCAATGCTTCATGTCATTAACTTAATGGATACACCTTTGTATAAAGCCAGAATTTCCGCACAGTCAGTCTGACTCTACAATCTGAGATTTTAACCACTACACTGTCTACTGGTGAGACCAAGTTGCAAAGTTAGTAACAGGAAGAGCTGAGAGCTTATAATCAAGTAGTCCGATACCAGAGTCTATGTCCTTAAACACTTGCCTCCCTGTTTCTTGATGTAATGTCATCTTAAAGTTGAGAAAAGGAAACTCACAAAGGTTTTGATAACTTGTTCATGTCATATAGCCAACAAAGGACAAAGGTATTGCAGTTTGGTTTGGCCATATGATTAGGCCAAACCATTAGAACCCAGATAGAAATGAATCCAAAGTTGGCCCTTGGAATCACTACTCTGTTTCCTCTTGCTTAATAAAAGCGTGAGTGCTATAGGACTTGTACAAGGACATTTAGTGTATACTCAGGACGTACTAGTTGTTTACTAGAGGAGATTACATCCAAGCAAAATCTCTCAGAGGTGACAGAGGGACTGGAGTGTGACTCTATTCTTAGAAACTCTGTCATGTTTAGTGTCATTTCTGAGGTCACCTTGGACACGTAGGGGCCGAGATAAAACTTCCTCTTCACCTTCTGAAGGTTTCCTGAAAAAACAGCTTTCAAAAGCCAGATTTATAGGAGAAATGGCACATAAATTTATTAACAAACACGGAGAAGAGCTACAGAGTGATTACCACCAACACCCCAATGGGGTACAGAAGCTTATATACCATCTTGACGTTACAGAAGGAATGCGGGCTTGGAGCACGGCCCAAACCAGGTTATGGTGGTAAATCAGGGTGTGGTGGCAAGATAGGTTATGGGAGGGAGAGAAGAGGAGGTCTGGCTGACAAAGGTGGTCTTGTTGTGTAGACAAAACCTCACAGGTAGCAGCCCTCAAAGAGAATAGATGGTAAGTGTTTCTTACAGACCTTTAAAGATGTCAGACTGGCACTTAATCTTTCCTAGATCCAGATAAGGGAGGATCTCAGAAAAAGCTTGGCTGCCTCAATGCAGATTCTCCATAGAGGCAAGTCTCTCCTACAAAGACAGTTTGCAGAGCTACTTCTGTTGGTAGGACCTCTGAACGGCCATCTCAAAGTATGTCAAAGAAGCGTATTTTAGGGCAAAATACTTTGGTTTCTTTCAGGCATTAGTATTCAGCTGTTAAAAGGTGAAAGAGAGAATGGAGAATTATGGAGAATTTTTTTTTTTTTTTTTAATGGGCAAGATTTAGAAGTGGCTTCTGTCATTCACTGTGTGTCCCCATGGGCACTGCGTAGTCATATGGTCAAAGAAAACTGCAAGTGAGATTGGGAAATGTAGACTAGTTCTCCCTGCCCAGGAAGAAAGGGAAGCAGATCTGGTGAAGTTGCTGTGTTACCACACATGTATGGTATGTGTATCTTCATTTTTACTAGAGAATGTCAACTTAAAATAATCAAGAAGATAGGGGTCTAGTTTAAAGTGTTTATTCAAGCGCAAAAGTTGAGGATGGGCCAGCCCAGGAAGCATGGATGTCAGAGAATGGAAGTCAGTGTTCCAAAGTGGAGAAGTTTGGGATCATTTATATAGACAAAGTTTATGGAAGTTTAACAGAATTTCAACATCTTTCTAGGTAAGGCTTAGTGTATAGTTACCAATGATCCGATTAGTTGAGGTGGTCTTTTTCTTTCAGGAAAGGTATATTTAATATTCCACACTGAAGATGTCCCTGCCATGAGGTCTCTGTTCCGGGCACCATCTGGTCTGA